ATGTAAAAATGTAATGTATATAGGTTGTTGATGAATAATAATCAATAATAGTTGTTTGTAGTTATGTTAGTTAGATTTTCTAGATGTGCACTGATATGTATCAGTTAGATAGATTTTCTTCATATCTTTCAAAGACTACATTTATGTCTTTGAATATGGCATTTTAAATGTTCTAATAACTTAGAGCTTTTCATGACAATGAGACACGTCCGCTCCTGGCAGCACCAACTACTTCAAGAGGAAGATGGGCATCAAAGAGGCTCGTTATGGAGCTTGATAGCCATTTGGGCAAGAAACTGCTCTTGCCTGGACTGTTGCATAAACTGGACACAGAGAACCCTCAGAGAGAGGACTGCTGAACTTGCCTAAAGGTGAGATGATCTTTTGGGGTTCCTGATTCATGAAAGAGTCTGTGAGACATTCTGCAGGACACAGCAGATAGTGACCTAACTGCCTTTGAAATTTCCTGCTTCATTGAAATGTCTGCTGGAAACTATGGGCCTGTAGGCAGAAGATGGATGCCCTAATGGTACAGAGGAACTTTGGGTGACTGTCCAGTTAGCGAAATGTCTCTGTGATTTCTAGAGTTTTGTAAGATGCTTACTTCTCATTTACTTAGGTAATATTATATCCTTCTGGAGTCTTTGATTGTGTTGAAGAAGAGATAGATATGTTTTTCCTTAGTTATGGTAAAAGATAAAGTAGATGTAAATATTGTAACTATCATTCTGCGTTATAACTGTTTTGTTATATGTAATTTTGCTATGTTAAAGTGAAAGCCTTTCCTTTTTGTTTAAACAGAAAAAGTTGAAATGATGGAGGAAGGTCATTGGCTAATAAAGAAATTGCAGGCTTTAGAACAATTGGTACAGGAGCAATTAGATGCTCGACATATTGAGGAGTCAACTAGGCCTCAGAATTCTCCTGTGTTTGTTGTAAAAAGAAATCTGGTAAATGGGAAATGATGACAGATCTAAGGGCTGTCAACAAGGTAACTCAACCTATTGGCCCTCTACAGTTTCGAATTCCTCTGCCTTCTCTGTTACCAAAAGGATGGTCTCTTATATTTATTGATTTAAAGGATTGCTTCTTCACTATATCTTTACAAGAAAAGGATAGAGAAAAATTTGCCTTCACAGTGCCTACTTACAATAACGCTCAGCCTACTAGGAGATACCAGTGGACTCTCCTCCCATAGGGGATGCTCAATAGCCCAACCCTGTGTCAATACTTTGAGTCAGCTGTTGGAAATAATACTTAGGCAATTCCCTAAGTCTATAATTTACCATTACATGGATGGCATTTTGCTATCGGATTCAAGCATAGATACTTTAGAAAGAATGTTTGAGGAAATAAATATAGTTTTGCCTAAATGAGGATTACAAATTGCTCTTGAAAAGATTCAAAGAGGAGATTCTGTTAATTACCTAGGTTACAGAATAGGTTTACAGAAAATTAGAACACAAAAGGCACAAATTAGGAGAGACTGATTACAGACTCTTAATGACTTTCAAAGATTGTTAGGAGACATTTCCAGTCTATGACCATCTGTTGGGATAACACCTGATTTAATAATTCATTTAAACAAAACCTTAGATGGTGATAAAGATTTGAATTGTCCGATAGAATTAACAGCTGAAACAGAAAAAGAATTGACAATGATTGAGGAAAAATTACAAGAGGCACATGTGGATAGGGTGAATCCAAATCTTAGTTGTATTCTAGTCATATTGCCTTCCAGAATTTCTCCTACAGGAATTTTAATGCAGAGGGAAGATATTTTAGATGGACCTTTTTACCACACAAACCAAGTAAAAAATTAAAACCTTATGTGGAAAATGTCTCTGAATTAATTATAAAAGGTAAACTGAGGCTTCATCAACTAGCAGGTATAGATCCACCAGAAATTATAGTACCTTTCACTACTGGTGAAATAAAAGAGTTAATTTTAAAGAACCTCTTAATATAGTTACTGATTCACAATATGAAGAAAGAGTTATCTTGCATATTGAAACCACTGAATTTATACAAGATAATACAGAATTGACTTAATTGTTTATTCAGGTACAGGACATAATCAGAAATAGGCTTCGTCCGATGTACACAACACACATTCGATCCCATATGGGTATTCCAGGTCCTCTAGCACAAGGTAATGCAGAAACTGATTGTTGATTGGAAGCATGTTGCAGGCCTCAGAATTTCATAAAAAAATCACATCATTAGCAAAGTTTTAAAGAAAGAGTTTTGTATTACATGGCAACAAGTTAAGGAGATTATAAAGAGATTCCCTACTTGCTCTTTATATAACCAAACACCACTACATGCAGGGACTAACCCAAAGGGTACTCAAAGAAATGAAATTTGGCAGATGGATGTTTTCCACTTTGCAGAATTTGGAAAATTAAAATATGGCCATCATGGGTATACCTGCACAAATTAAAACAAATAATGGTCCAGCTTATGTCTCTAGGAAAATGAAGTGGTTTTTTCTTAAATATTAAGCATTTTACATGTATACCACACAATCTTTTTTACTTATATTCATAAGTATATAGAGCTGGTTTGGAGTTGGAAATCTGGCTCAGTCCCTCTTTAATTCCAAGCCTGTTGTTAAGAGAAAAACCGAGAGTTTCTGTCTCATATCAAGAGCCATGATATGGGACAGAAGGCAAAAAGAATTTAGAAAACATCTTTGCTTTTCTTCATATCTATCATGCCTTTCATTGAATATATATGTCTGTTTAGGTCTATATAATTAGTGTTTAAGTTTTCCACAATGAACAATGAATTTTCCTGCAGTAATCTTTGAAGTTTCCAGGAAGAAATGGGGACCCATAACAACAACTCCACCTGGTAGATATGATGTCATGATACTGATAGTGCTGCTACAAGACCTGTTTTGGGTACCAGCTGCACAAGACAGTTCCTACTTGGTTAGCTGAAATGGCGCACATCTTATACAACATTCTGGCCAGACCTCCACAAAATACTCAAAGACTATTTGCAGTCTTACCAGACATTATTCTTGAAATTTAACCATCATTTTACTTTCACAGGATCCCCTAGAAAGAACGTTGCCCCCATGACAGCTGGAAGTAATTTTTTTTTAAGATTTATTTATTTATTATGTATACAGTATTGTCAGTATTCTGTCTGCATGTGTGCCTGCAGGACAGAAGAGGGCACCAGATCTCCTTACAGATGGTTGTGAGCCACCATGTGGTTGCTGGGAATTGAACTCAGGACCTTTGGGAGAACAGGCAGTGCTCTTAACCACTGAGCCATTTCTCCAGCTCCTGCTGCTGGAAGTAATTTTAGAGGACGATGTCTCCTCTCCCAGCAAAGTTTGTCCTCAGGTTTAGGGACATCATTTAGGGGTTGATTATAATTGATGTATGGTTGAGAGTTGGGGGAGGAATTTTATAAGCTCAGGGATCTTTTTGAAAAAAAAGAGGGAAAATTGGATAATGGGATAATAGATTGGTATTTGTGAGTTATTATGTATAGAAAATTACAAAGGCATAGATTCTTTTTTTTTTTTTTTGGTTTTTCGAGACAGGGTTTCTCTGTGGTTTTGGAGCCTTTCCTGGAACTTGCTCTTGTAGACCATGCTGGTCTCGAACTCACAGAGATCCGCCTGCCTCTGCCTCCCAAGTGCTGGGATTAAAGGCGTGCGCCACCACCGCCCGGCTCATAGATTCTTGTATATGAATACAAAGTTAAATTATATTGAATATTGTATGCACGCATGCGTCTACCTCTGTTTAAAACATTTATATATATATATATATTTACCATATTGCAGTGTACATTTCAAATCTGATCAAGATATTTGTACATTGTTTACATTTGGAGTCATTGTCCTCATTTATTGCATAGTTGTTTACTGTCTTAATCTTTATGTTAGATAGGTATTAAGAATTATAGAGCAATAGTCATCTATGTTTGTCATATTTATAGTTATACTAATTGGGTCTTTTTAGATACATAACGATTATATTCCATATAAATAGATAATCTTCAACTTCTTCAAAGAGCTGTAGAAAATGGCATTTAATCTAACTTAGAGTTATGTGGTAGTGAGACACAATTGCTCCTGGCAACACTGATCTATTCCCAAGAGACTGTTGAGCACCCAAGACACTCCACTTGGAGCTTGTCTTCTTCTTGGCAAAACCAGCCTCTGGGCAAGGAACTGCCCATACTTCAACTACTGAAAAATACATAGTATCTGGAAATACATAAGCGGAACTGTCAAATCTTGCTAAGACAGGGCAATACGGTTTTGAAAATTTTCTTGCCTTTAAAAATAATCTGTCAGTTATTCTAGGCCTTAGCTAAAGTTGTTTGCCTCAACGTTGCAAATGTGACTTTGGGTGATTGTCCAGGTAGCCAGTTGTCTCTGTGATTCGTTGCATGTTTTGGAAGTTGTTTGATTGCACTTCCTAATTACTCAAATAACATTGTTTCCCTTCTCAAAACTTCGATGAGGTAGAAGACTATATAAATGTAGTTACTTTCCATTCATGACTTGTCCAAGTTATTTATTATACAAGACTTAAGCTAGTTAGAATAGGATATTTGCTCTTATTGTATATAATTTTGTAGTAGGTTTGGAACTCTCTTACTTAAACAAAAGAGGGAGGTGCTGCAGGAGCTCCTTTTGCTCCTTTAGCCAATAGCCTTTAAGATACCAGCCTACTTGGGCGTGGTCTCTTTGGCTTGCAAAAGCAGTGGTAGCCATGTGCTCCCTCTCTTGCTTCAGACTCTGCTTCTGACTACCATACTCTTTTCCTGGTCATGCAGGGGGCTGTTGTCCAGGATGGTAATCTGTAAGTTTTCCCCTTTAAATAAATAACCCTTCTATTAATCATAATTCCAAACTGGTGTGGGATTGTTTTGTGACATTCTCCTTTATTTTGACAATGAGAAAGCTCAATGGATGTACTGAATCCTTAACCATGCACCAAGTCCAGTTGATTAATCCTCATCTTCATCTGTGTTTTATTCATGAAGTAAATTAAAGATTCCAATGTTCTTGGACACCACCTGAAGAGGAACACTGCAGAGTCCTTGAGGGAAAGTCATGCTCCAGTTATGAGCACATCCCGTGGTACAACCTTTAGAACAATGGGTTTTTCTGGTTTAAGAAGTGGTTTTCTGTGTAATTTCAAGGGAATCTGCAACCATGCAAGAAAAAAAATTGAGAATCAATGAGTGAGCCAACAACAACCCATATTGAAAGGAATGATGTTTTGAAGGTACATCTAAGCTGCATTTGAGGTCATATGCTTGGACTTCCTTATCTCCAAGCTGTGTCCATTAGATGGTGAAAAACATGCTTCCAAATATGCATAAGGCAATATATTTATTGAGACTCTATGGTAGACAGGGATTGAGATGAAGCCATGCTTATTTACGTTATTTCAGTTTTATACTACTTTAGAGTAAAACTGTTAAAATTTTTAAACTTTAATTTTTGTTTTGTTTTATTTTTTTCAAGACAGGGTGTCACTCTGTACCTGAGTCTGCCCTACATCTCATTATGTAGACCAGGCAGGCCTTGAAGTCACAGAGATGAGTTCTGCCCGTGAGTGCTGGTATTAAATACATGAGCCACTAAGCCTGGCCAATTTTACATATTTGAGCCTGATTCTTAGTTACTATGTCATATTGTTTTTTTGTAAGTCCTGAAAAGTTATTTTTTGTTTGTTGACATTTGCAAGTTAACCATGAGAGGATACATTTCCACTCTATGAACAGTCCTCACAGCCTAGATCAAATGTCACTAGTACAGTTGTGTCCATTCAGATAAGTCTTTAGGAGGAGAGATATTTGCTTGCTTTCCTAGCATCTATTATGACTTTGAAAGATGGGATAAATGAAGAGTTTTGAGTCCTGTGTTTTCAGTGGTGCTTTAGTCCTATGCTATTCAGAGACAGAGGGGAACAGTGGAGTAATCTTTTGTTCACAAGAGAAGGGAGGATAACAAAGTTGTCATGGAGATAGAGATGAGTCAAATTTAAGATGATTGGAGCTTGCCAGAGCATCTGCCTTTGAAAGATGTTCCATTGGCTCTCAAAACTTGAACTTTGCTTTGTCTGTCCTTATCTCTGTACATGCTTATGATTTAAATGCTTTAGGGAGAAAGTAGTAAAATAAGTGAGGTTGTGGGTTGACTAATCTACATAACTTCCTTAAACCACAAATCACAGAACAAATATTTCCATCCCTCTCTTCATTCAATAAAACTAATTGACAAAGAGAAGGCACATTTTAAACACACAAATCTCTTAAGTTTTAGCCATACCTTTGCATGAAACAGGAATAAATTGTTCAGGAAAATGCAAATGCTTTCTCTAAATGTCCTATCATATTCTTTTAAAATATTAAGTAGTATACATTTGTTTTCCATGAGGCATAAAAAAGAGATGTACATAAAATTTATACACAAGTGTTATCTGTTATTTTAAAATTAGTTTTGATGTTTTTATGAAAGAATATTAAAATTGTAAGCTCTACTTCAAAACATTTACCAAAGGCTTTCAATGCACAAATTCTCCACAAAGGATCATTGGAGTTGGTGGAAGGAATGATATGAGGTGGTATAGGAAAGATACAGAATATCCTTCAATACTGAGAGAAAAAGCACAACCAAACTGGAGGCTTTAATGACAAAGTATTAGCACAGGTGATAAATACAGCGTGCAGAAGCCAAAAGTAGAATATAAAGCACATGAGGAAATACATCCAAGAAGAAGATTCATTTGCAGAATTTACAAGAACTTGAATATGAGAGAAGAATATGGAGGAAAAAAGAATACATTGTTTATGGAAACATGACAGATATTTGTTTCTGGTGCAGAGGTCCTGAGAAGTGAGGCAGAACCAGCAAATGTCTCATAAGGTTGAAAATCATCCATGACCAGCAACTTTGTTAAGATTTATTTTTTATTGTATGTGTAGGAATGTTTTACCTGCACATGTGTTTGTATACCACATATGTGCAGTCTCAATGGAAGCCAGAAAAGAACACAAGCAGCCCTGGAAGAGGATTTACAAATGGTTGTTAGCCAACTTTTGTGTACTGGGAAATGAGCTCAGGTACTTTGTAAGAGCAGCTAGTACTCTTAACCACTGAGCCATCACTTGAGCCCTAACATTTATGTTTTACAATAATGATTCTCAATTTAGCATCCCATTGAAAGCCAGAGATGGGCTTTTAAAGCCAAACTCTAGGTAAAGAATTTTAGGATTTCAGACATGATCTCCAGGAATCATGAATTTCTGTTTTTGCTTCTGATGTGGGGTATTCTGTAGCTCCTGCTGGCTTCAAATTCACTATGCAGCCAAGGATTACTTGAATTTCTGATCATCTTGCCTTATCCTTTTGAGTACAGGGATTGCAGGTATGCTTCCTCAAAGCAGCTTCATGCATTTCTGGGGATGGGAACCAGGTCTTTGTGCATGCCAGGTAAGCACTTTGCCATTTGAGAAATATATATGAGTTGTAAAGTTCCTCAGTGATTCTAATATACAGCCAGTAGTTGACAGGACTGTCAGAGGAGGGCTTCTGTGAGTTCTGGAAGAATAGTGCACCACCCAACAAACAGGAAGCCATGATCACTGAACCGCTTTATAGCACATGGCATAACAATTTTCCGTGGACATGACAGGAACTACAAAGAGAATGCACATAACCCTGTCATACAGGCCTGCACTAACTCTTCATAATGCTACAGTTGTACTCTATATTGATTCAGCACCAGAGGCCCATCAATTCTTCCTTGGATACAAATAACTCATTAGGTCATAAAACAAGTTAGCAAACCTCAAACAACCAGATTCAATTTTATACACAGAACCTTCAGTTGAAAAATGTCTCCCATAAAACATTATTTACAGAGATAGTTTTCCCCCTCACCTGTGTTTCCTTACAAGGCTGGAAGGAGAAATTCTGCAGGAGTTTAGTGAGAGCAAGTTTCATGTTCATGAGAGCAAACCTCATGCCAATGCAGTTCCTGGGTCCATACCCAAAGGGCATGTACACATAAGGATTGATGCTGCCCTTGTTCTCCTTGCTGAACCTGGAGACACGAGTAATAACAAGTTAGAAAAGGATAGAAGCATAAGATCTACATCCATGAATTTACCTTCAGACATCTAACCAGACATACAGGGAGAATAGTAAAGGTTCACTGAACTGATTCCTGGTATTTGACTCTGAGAATTGTACAGTAAAAGTCCGTTTTGTCCCCCTTGATCTAAAAAAGTTTCCATATCTGAGATAAGACAAATGCTTTAGACAGAAAATGTATCCTATGTGCCCACTAGTGTTATGTGGTAGGGATAATGAACCACTGTCTGATTGGATCAGAGTTCCAATTTACAGTGGTATTTAATGCCTGATACTGTAAATCTGGAGGTTATATGCACTAGGGTCGAATGTACTACTGTTGTTTTGCTAAGTGGACATGGTATCAAACTGTCTTCTGAATATTCATGTTTATACACAAAAACTAGTGCTACTATTAGTCTCTGTCAGAGAAGCTTCTGATTGCAGTGGGAGACAGTTAACACAGAAACTCATAACTGCTCAAAATGCTGAGAATGAGTGATGGTGGAGTGCTCAGTGCTTAATGGGACATCTGTATCATCCCCTGCAAGGCTCATGGAACATCTCAGAAGAGGGGGCAAATGACATAAGATCCAGGGAATGAAAGGGGTGCTGTGAAACACTATCTTCTGGACCTGAAACAGCCATTGTACTTATGAATTCACAGCAACTGTGGTTGCCTACACAAGGCTAGACCATTTTGATACACTCCATCAAGGATTGGGGAGGGAGTTTGTAAAACATCACCTCTGTGAGGAACTATTGACAATCAATGGTTCCTGTAGTGGGAGGATATTCTTTTTAATGGTGTAGCTCTTGGTGAGTTGTCCATTCTGCAGTAAATAACTACTAGACCTGTGCTTATGCAAGCAACCCCAATTAATATCATGAGTCACAAGACAATAGGACGACATGAACAGAGGAAGACTTGATGGGGACAAGCAGGGCTTCAACAAGTGTGCAAGGGAGAAGTGGTAGGAGGCGAAAATGACAAAAATACCTTATACATACATGCAATTGTCAAAGAATAAAAAATAACCAAAATACTCTTTACATACATGCTATTGTCAAAGAATAAAAGCAAATGGGGAAATACATGTCTAAACTCCTAATGTCTCTTCAAGATAATGCTGGGTTCCATCGCTCAAAAGCATGTGTCAGTTAGACTGAAGGAAAGCAGGTTCCTGCCTCACTCTTAAGTTGGTCATTTGTTACTTGATGAAGGAGAATTAAAACACTGTATTTAAATTCTCATTTTTTCTTCCCATCTCTCTTCCCTTTTCCTTTTTCCCTTTCTCTCATTCTCTTCACAGAATGCAAATGGATATTAAATCCCATTTAGATCATCTTTTCATAAGAGACACTATAGTATATACAGCCCAGCACAGTTCAAAGTGGGTTCCAACTACTGGAATTCTAGTACCTTTCAGGGTGGAATTCTTCAGGCTCCGGCCAGTACTGTGGGTCACGGTGAAGAGAAAACATTGGTATCATCACTATTGACCCCTTGGGAATAAACACACCACCCATTTCCATATCTTGTTTACAGACTCTCTCAAGTCTGTCAGAAATTGGGTATAATCTGAGCGTTTCACTCAGCACCATGTCGAGGTACTCCATCTCCATCACTTTATCATAGCTGGGAGGTGCCTGGGAAGAAAGAAAAAGGTTTGTTCTGAGATTTTAGATTACCTTTCAATTGATCTGTATTGTACTGCTGAGATCTCAGTAGTCCAAAGTTGAACTGAGCACTGCAAAGGTCATAGGCACTTATAATACATTTTAAAAGATTTTAAAATTGTTTTATTTTATGAGTGTAGCTGTTTTGCCTACATATGTGTATGTGTGCCCCATAAGCACAATGTCCACAGAAGTCAGGAGAGGGCATCAGATCCTTTGTGTCTGACATTATATACAGTTGAGGATTGCCATTTGGGTACTGGGAATCAAAACCTGGATGGATTTTCTGAAAGAGCAGCCAATGCTCTTAACCATTGAGCTAGCTATCCAGTCTCTTACAGAATGGTTAGAATAACTATCACTTGGGCTTTAAAGATATCTCAATTTATGAATTGTCTAGTATGCAATCCTGAGTTCAGATACATATCATTCATAAAGCCAGACATAGTGGCTCACATCTATAATCCCAGCAGGGTGGGGGAAGGGACAGAGACAGGGCATGCCTGGTGATCCTTTTCCAGACTGCCTAACCAATTTGATGATCTCCAGATTCGGTGAGAATACCTGTGTCAAAAACCATGGTGGAATACTGAGAATTCAAGAACAATTGCAGTGGGTTTTTGATCCTACTGCACGTACTGGCTTTGTGGGAGCCTAGGCAGTTTGAATGCTCACCTTACGAGACCTGGATAGAGGTGGGCAGTCCTTGGGCTTCCCACAGGTCAGGGAACCCTGATTGCTCTTAGAGCAGATGGGGGGGGGACTTGATCGGGGGAGGGGGAGGGAAATGGGAAGCGGTTGTGGGGACGAGGCAGAAATCCTTAATAAATAAATAAATAAATAAATAAATAAATAAATAAAAAAACCATGGTGGAGAGTGATTTAGAAAAATATCCAGTACAGGTCTTTGATCTATGCATTCACACTTTACACACACACACACACACAAACGCACGCACGCACACACACACACACACACACACACACACAGCATTTTTTGTGAAAAGAAGGATTTCTTTTTCTCTTCTATTCCAAGCACCATCCATTCACCTTATTGGGCAGAGCCACATCGATCTCCTCCTGCAGTTTCTTCTGGATATCAGGCTGAGTGGCCAGTAAATACAGGGCAAAGGCAAGGGTGTTGCTGGTGGTTTCGTAGCCACCAAAAATAAAAATAACTGACTGGGCCATAATTTCTGCGTCAGACAGAACTGAAAGTAAGAAAACATTTCAGGAAAGTCAGGTCAGGGTGTACAACACAGAAGAGATAAGGAGATAATCAAACAAGGCTCCTGTTTCGCTAGAGAGAAATATGGAGAAGTCACTCAGTCACCCTGGGACCGTTATCACTTTGACATCTATGTGACAGCCAGAGAAGGAAAAGATTGGTTCAGTCAGGATGCCCCAAGGTTTATGCTATGTTCCTCCTCATCATCAGTGGGCAGTTTCAAGACATGTAGCATATTCTGTTTATAGGATTTATTTTTATTTTTAATTTATATATATTTGTGTCTGGGAGTTTTGGTTGACTTTGAACTGAGTCTTTATTGTACTCTTGAGTTGTCAGTAGATGCAAAGTTGACTTAGCATAACAAAAGATCTAGGCATTTACAACACATTTTAATGAATTTTTAAGTTGTTTAAGTTTATGTGTGAAGGTGTTTCACCTACATATATGTTTGTGTATGTGTATTTGTGTCTGTGGATGGGTGCCATGTGTGTGTTTTGTGTGTCTATGGTGTCCAGGAGAGAGCATCTGATTCCTTAGACATGGAGTTTTAGAAAATTGTGAGCTTTCAGAGGCAGGTGCTGGGAACTGAACTCCAGTCCTTTGCCAGAGTTTAAGAATTTTAATTAATTAATTAATTAAACATTTTCACCTCCTCCCATTTCCCTCCCAATCCCCCCACTCCTCTTTACCTCCCTCTACAGTCCTAAAAGAAGTCAGGGTGTCCTGCCCTGTGGGAAGTCCAAGGCCCTCCCACTTCCATCCAGGTCTAGGAAGATATGTATCCAAACAGACTAGGCTCCCAAAAGCCAATACCTGCAGTAGGATCAAAACCTGGTGTCATTATCATTGGCTTCTCAGTCAGCCCTCATTGTCAGCTACATTCAGAGAGTCCGGTTTGATCACATTCTTGTTCAGTACCAGTCCTGCTGGGCTTGATGAGCTCCCATTAGATCAGTCCCACCATATCCATGGGTGGACACACCCCTCATGGTCCTGACTTCCTTTCTCATATTCTTCCTCCTTCTGCTCAAGTAGACCTTGGGAGCTCAGTCCAATGCTTCATTGTGGGTCTCTGTCTCTATCTCCATCCATCACCAGATGAAGGTTCTATGGTGATATGCAAGATATTCATCAGTGTGGCTATGGGAGAAGGCCAGTTCAGGTACCCTCTCCACTGCTGCCCAAGGACCTAGCTGGGGAAATCCCCTTGGACACCTGGGAACCCCTCTAGAGCCAAGTCTCTTGCCAACCCTACAATGGCTCCCTTAATTAAGATATCTTCTTCCCTGCTCCCATATCTACCCTTCCTCCATATCAACCATCCCATTCCTCTAAGCTCTCTCCAATCCTCCCCTTCTCCCTTCTCTCTCCCCATCTCTTTTTCCCCCAACCCGCCTCCACCTCCGTGCTCCCAACTTCTGCCCAGCGATCTTGTTTACTTCCAATATCCAGGAGGATAAATATATATTTTTCTTTGGGTTCACCTTCTTATTTAGCTTCTCTAGGATCATGAGTTATAGGCTCAATGTCCTCTGTTTATGGCCTGAATCCACTTATGAGTGAGTACATACCATATTCATCTTTTTGGGTCTGGGTTATCTCACTCAGTAAAGTGTTTTCTATTTCCATCCATTTGCATGCAAAATTCAAGATGTCATTGTTTTTTACCTCTGAGTAGAACTCTAAAGTGAATATGTGCCATACCTTCTTTATCCATTCTTCCATTGAGGGGCACCTAGGTTGTTTCCAGGTTCTGGCTATTACAAATAGTGCTGGTATGAACATAGTTTAACAAATGCTTTTGTAGTATGATTGGGCACCTCTTGGGTATAATCCCAAGAGTGGAATTGCTGGATCCTGAGGTAGGTTGACTCCCAGTTTCCTGAGAAACTGCCACACTGATTTCTAAAGTGGTTGCACAAGTTTGCATTCCCACCAGCAATGGATGAGTGTTCCTCTTATTCCACATCCTCTCCAGCATTGGCTATCATTGATGTTTTTGATTTTAGTGATTCTGACAGGTGTAAGATGGTATCTCAAAGTTGTTTTCATTTGCATTTCCCTGATCGCTAGGGTAATTTTAATTCTTAACCTTTGGTAGGGGTTAAGAGTTTTAATTTTAATTTTATTTTTAATTATCTATCCAACCGGAGATGGTGGGACTGATCTAATGGGAACTCACTAAGGCCAACTGGACTGGGACTGAATGAATATGTGAACAAACCAGACTCTCTGAATGTGGCTGACAATGAGGGCGGACTGAAATGCTAATGATTATGGCACTGGGTTTTGATTCTACTGCATGTACTGGTTTTTTGGGAGCCTAGTCTGTTTGAATGCATACTTTCCTAGATCTGGATTGAGGTGGGAGGGCCTTGGACTTCCCACAGGTCAGGGCACCCTGACTTCTCTTAGACTTGGAGAGGGAGGGGGAGTGGGGGAGTGGGAGGGAAATGGGAGGAGGTGAAAATATTTAAAAATTAAAAAAAATAAAAAAAGAATTTTAATTTTAATTCTTCACCTTTGGTAAAGGTTAGGAGTTTTAATTTTAATTATCCATTTATGTATGTGTACAAACATGTTTACAAGTGCCCATGAAGAGCGGAACATGGAATAGTTTATATAGCTAGAGTTATACACAGTTGTAAACCTTTTTTGGCATGAGTGCTGAGACTCTGCTGTTGCTAAAGTTTCTTTCCCAATTAGTGTAAGTCCTTGCTTCTAAATTGAAGCTGTACTATAAACCCACAATCAGTGGGTATTTTTAAAGTTAATATCTATTTTAGAACTTGAAAATGAAAAAAGAAGATCAGAGGATATGTATCTCAGTAAGTGGAGAGATAGCCTGGCGTGAATAATGCCATGGGCTCAGTCCCCAGTACTGTATAAACTAGGCATGGTAGGACAGAAGTTAAAAGGTCATTCTCAGGCACACTATGAATGTGAGGCCAGCCTGGCCTACATGAGACCTGGTCTGAAAAGGAGCAGGACATATAGACCAATTTGAAGTTAGTTAATCACATGAAAGTGTTTAAAGTGGATAAACTGGAGAGAATTCCAAACAAAACACATGATGACTTTAAAAAGCAAATTTGGGGACCTAGACGATCATATTGCTATATATAAGCAGTTGTGTGCACTAGAAATAAGGAAATAGGTAAGAATGGAAGACTCCCTTTACATTAACTTCTGATGTTCACATCTAGAATAAAGTCTGGAAATTAACAACCATGATAGTAATAATGCTTTTAAATTAAAACATAACCATAGTTGGGAGGCTAGAGGTATGGTTCAATAGGTATGAGCACTTGTTGCGCAAGCCTGAGAACCTCAGTTTGAATCCTCAGTCCCCATGTACAATGCCTGTGTGGTAACACACTTCTGTATCCCTAGCTCTGTGGATCATAGAGACCTCTGGCTGCCAGCCTAGCTCCAGGTTCAATAAGAGTTTCCATCTGGAGGAAACAAGGCAGACAGTGATTGAGGAAGGTACTTTGTGCCTTCCTCTGAAATCCACAGAGATATAGGTGTGTAAGCATGAGCACACACTCATGCACACATGCATATAGTATCCAAAGAAGATAAAAAGTAATTTTTAAGTATGTGGAAGAATAAAGAGAACCAGTGTGCTTATCCAAAGAGGCTTTCCCCAGATGCAATGTTTTTAACATACAAACAGAAGTAAACAATCACTATAGATTAAGGTAGAGAACACATGCACAGCAGGGGTTCCCAGAAAGCATAAGCACTATTTGTATACATGTCTTCTGAATGGATGTTTATATTTAGATGTCTGGGCCATGTTCCCAGTCAGTGTTCTGGGAAAGACAGAAGCAGCACCTGTGTAGAGCTAGGTGACACACAGAGGCCACTGAAGACTCCCTTCATGTTTGGAACAAATTTGTGCCCATGTGTTTCTAGAAAATTCTACACTGAAAATAGCCATGTCCTTCTTTCAGTAACCTGACAGAGGTATTCTTCTGCTAGCCACAAATAGCATAAAGTATCGTGGGGGTAATTCTAACCAAGGAAGTGAAAGATCTATTTGACAAGAACTTTAAGTCTTTGAAGAAAGAAATTGAAGAGGATACCAGAAAAATGGAAGGATGTCCCATGCTCTTGGATTGGAAGGATCAACATAGTAAAAATGGCAATTCTACCAAAAGCAATCTATAGATTCAATGCATTCCCCATCAAAATCCAACACAATTCTTCACAGACCTTGAGAGAATAATAATTAACTTTATATGGAAAAACAAAAACAAAGGATAACCAAAACAATCCTATACAATAAAAGTACTTCTGGAGGCATTACCATCCTTGACTTCAAACTCTATTACAGAGATACAGTAATGAAAACAGTTTGGTATTGTCATAAAAACAAAGATGTTGACCAATGGAATCAAATCGAAGTCCCGGATATCAATCCACGAACCTATGAACACCTGATTTTCGACAAATAAACTAAGATTATGCAATGGAAGAAAGAAAGCACATTTAACAAATGGTGCTGGCATAACTGGATGAAAGAATGAAAATAGATCCATATCTATCACCATGCACTGTTGCGGGAGGTCCTCCCACTCCTCCAGCCTATCACCACTGAGATACCAGCCCATTGGGGCGTGGTCTCTCTCCCTTTAAAAAAGCGGCCACTTCCCTCTCCTCTCTCTCTTCACTTCCTGCTCCGCAGGCGACTAGACTCCTTTCCTGGTTGCGTAGAGGGCTGTTGCCTGGGACAGTGATCTGTAAGTTTTTTCCCCTTTAAATAAATACCACCCTAATAATCATAATCCCAAATTGGTGTGGCATTGTTTGTGACTTACGCCTTCATTTTGGCGCCCGACGTTTGGTTTTAGAACCTCTCCTCGCAGCCGTGAGTTCGGCTTGGTGGCCGCGAGTTCGGCTTGGCGGCCGTGAGTTCGGCTTGGTGGGAGCCCTCCCTTCCTCAGCTGCTGCCTGTGCCTTCCAGCGTTGGCC